CATCCATTTGATGCAATTCCAAATCTAAACGTATGGAATCTTTCTTAGACACAGGAGAAAATGTATCTGTGTAATCGATTTCTTCCTTTTGAGTGAATCCTTTAGCAACTAGTCTCACCTTGTATCTTTCAATGTTGCATAATGAGTCTTTCTTGGTCTTAAAGACCCATTTACACCCTATGGGTTTTTCTCCTCTAGGCAACTCAACAAGATCTCAGACGTTGTTACTCTTCATGGAATTCATTTCTTCCTTTATTGCATTGTACCACAATTATTATTCTTTGCAACCAATAGCTTGTGAAAAGGTTTCAGGATCATTTTCGGCTCTAATATTATAGTCAGATTCATGTAAATATACAACATAATCACTGGAAATTGCTGACTTCCTCGTTCTAGTAGATCTCCTTAATGTTGCATCAACATCCTCCTGGGGAGCATGTTGTGCTCAATGCCTTCAGGTAATTCCTAAATAACTGGATCTACTAAATTATCAGCAGCTTGTGGAATTTCTTTTTTGTCATTTGCATCAACTATGTGCTGTTGAATTTCAACAGCTAGTTGTGCAACATCAACATGAGGAGCGCTATGAATGAGAATCAGCTTATTACTTGAGTGAAAGGTTGAGTATCTAAATGATCCTTCTCAGAAACTATATCCTAAGATTGATGTAAAACCCCGAAAATTTGAATATAGTGTGATAAATAATTATAAATATGTTATATGATGAAAATAATGTATTTTTATGTTTGAGTATGATAGGAATTTATTTGAGATCAATTCAATGCATATTTGTGAATATACGAGTGTAAATACACAAAACATGCACAAAGGCAAATAGTGAGAATCTGAGAATTTTGACCAATTGAGAGTTTTTATATTTTGTACACTGATTTATTTAGAATCTGGAAAAGTATATAATATCAAAATTGTAGGTCTCTTCAAGAGCTTTCCAACAAATCTTAGATCAGCTCATTCCGAAATCAGATGAGAAAGTTATGGCCTTTTTACCGAACCTCAGTCTGAGAATGACCCAGGAACCTGCGCAGTCGACCGCCGTGGTCGCTGCGGTCGACCGCGCAGCGAACCTGGTTCTGCCAGTTCAGTTTCGGGACAGGTTTTGTTTATACCAAACCCGATTGCTACCCTAAGTATATATACTCGTTTTGAAGCTCTCAGAACCCTCTTTCAAACCCTAATAGCCTCAGCCCCCCTTCTCTCTCTCCTCTCAAACCCTAGCTCGGATTTTGGCGTTTTTAGGGCGTTTCGAAGGATTTCGGTGGGGTTTTGCGATTCAGATTGAAGGAGGATCGTTTTTGGGTGTTCATCAACCCCCCTCAGGCGAGTGACATCGCCCCCAGCCCTTCACCCACGTTTTTATGGGTTTTCTAATGATTTTTAATAAGTTTCTTGAGCCTAAATCATTATTTTGTGTAGATAGATGGATCTTTATGATATGAGATGTAAGAATCAAGTATTTTAGTTTTCAAATGCTCACCAACGATTTTGGTTAAAGAGATCTGATCTGAAATTTATATTTTTTTTTGAAATCTGAGTTTTGATGCAAGTTTACTGTTTTCACAACGCTTCGATACACATAAACATGTCTAGGGATTAAATGGTAGATCTTATAGAATAGTTTTTTTTTGTTGTCTTCTATGGTTTATGAATTATTTAACATTGTTTAAATTATGTTTATACATCACTTGTACATGTTTAGGATTTAATTATTTGAGTCATTGCATCAGTACGTGAAATAGACAGAGAACCTATAAATAACTCTCTGCCTATTTCGCGGTCGACCGCGGTGGACGCGGCGGTCGACCGCTTGGTGTGCAGCAGGGCAGAGGTTGTCTGCCTTATGTGCGGTCGACCGCGAGGCATTTTTGTTGAGCAGTCAGTGGGGGTGCCCTCTGCGGTCGCCCGCCGCACTGTTTGTGCATGTTTTAATTTTGGTGCATACTTTTGTGTGTTCGAGGAGTTGCCTCGATTATTTAATGTTAGATTTTAGTGATTTATTATTTATCTGTACATGTGAGTTGACTTTTGACACAAGCACCGATCCGCACAACGAGGCACGTGTGACATGAGATTATGTGTATCTTTTGTGTATATATATATTCGACACTTACACTTTGTATAATTTTACAGTTAGTCCTCGTGTTGGACACTCATTCCAGTTAGTCCTCGTGTTGGACACTCATTCCATTCAGTCCTCGTGTTGGACACTCATTCTACTCAGTCCTCGTGTTAGACATGCATTGGTTATATTTAGTCCATGCGTTGGACATTGGTTATATTCAGTCCATACGTTGGACATTGGTGAGATTTAGTCCATGCGTTGGACATTGGTTATATTCAGTCCATACGTTGGACATTGGTGAGATTTAGTCCATGCGTTGGACATTGGTTATATTCAGTCCATACGTTGGACATTGGTGAGATTTAGTCCATGCGTTGGACATTGGTTATATTCAGTCCATACGTTGGACATTGGTGAGATTTAGTCCATGCGTTGGACATTGGTTATATTCAGTCCATACGTTGGACATTGGTGAGATTTAGTCCATGCGTTGGACATTGGTTATATTCAGTCCATGCGTTGGACATTGGTTAGATTTAGTCCATGCGTTGGACATTGGTTATATTCAGTCCATGCGTTGGACACTCGTTACTTTCAGTCCATGGGTTGGACGTTTAATTTATATAGTCTATGTTTTGGACACTTAATCATTTTCGGACATGACACTCATGTGAGTTTGCATGACACTTGTGGTGGCCTTGTCATGATTTCATTTATCGGTAGAGACGGGTTTGTATTTGTTTTATTTATTGTTTCTTGTATTAGACCTCAGGTTTAGTATTTAGGGATTTACAAATTTGAGATACAAGGTATATACATGAGGGTTTCCTTGTTTGGATTATTTCGCTCGACGTACCTACGCTCGTGTTGTAATTTCCTAAATACCAAAACCCATTGTTGCTAGGACAAATGATTTTATATTATTATGTATTAACTGTATTTTCATATACAACAAGCCCTATCCCTTGGGGTTGGTTGTGATGTTGCTCGCTAGCGCTTTGACGCTCGTTGTCCCTCCCCCTTTCAGGTAACGAGCCAGGAGCCCGGAGAATCGCAGGATGAGGGTGACTTTTACTAGTGCCTATTTATCCTCTTATTAGATGTATTTTATTTTGTACTCCACTTGAGACATTTTTAGACTTAAGAGGTTTATGTTCTAGAGTTGTAAAGGCTGTGTGCCTTATTTCCTGTATCAGATATTATGTACTTTAAGACATGTTGAGATCTCCAGATTGTTATTAATCATTTCAGACTTTGACTATGTATTCCAGTTTATTTGGTTGAGGAGATGTGTTAATTTGATGTTCTATCATTTCATTAAGTATTTGTTGTAGAACCTTTTACTTGCTTTGTACCTACACCTATTGTTGATTCCTCTAGAGAGATAGTAATTGTGATGGTGAAACATGCTATTGCACGGTGTGGTGCATGGCAGGTTTGACATTCCTGGTTTCACCTCGGACTGCAGCCTTGTGTGAACCCAGGGGCGTCACAATTGATCCCTCCCACTGATTAAGTCATTCTCAAGAAATTTTACATTTCTTGATTCCACAATTCTAGTCTGCAGAGATGGAAAATAAAACCTATATCATTTGATCCTTTCGACATATCCAATGAACTACCCACTTATGATCCTTGGATCCAATTTCTTCTCTTGTGGATTGTAAACTCTTATTTTAGATGGGCATCCCTAAATGCGTATATGTCGTAAACTCGGTTTCCAACCTTTTAATAATTTAAATGGCATTTTTGGAACAAACTTGGTTGGAACCCGGTTTAATATATACACAACCATCTTAAGAGCTTCAGTCCACAAGGACTTAGGAAGTTTGGAGCTACTTAGCATGCTCAGCACCATGTCCAATATTGTTAGGTTTCTTCTTTCTACCACATCATTCTAGTTAGGAGATCCAGGCCTAGTGTATTGAGCAACTATCTCATTTTCTTGAAGATACCTTGTAAACGGACCCAGTGCTTGTCCATCCCTAGTATATCTACCATAATATTATCCACCTCTATCAGACCTTATGATCTTAATTTGCTTTCCGCATTGTTTCTCTACTTCAGTTTTGAATATTTTGAAAGCATCTAGCGCTTCGTTCTTGTTATGAAACAAGTAGAGATACATATATCGTGAGTAATCATCTACGAATGAGATGAAATATTTCTGACCATACAAGTCCATATCTGGACTATAAATATTTGTATGTATGATTTCTAATATGTTCGAGCTCCTCTTGGCAACTTTCTTTGATTTATTGGTATGCTTTCCCTTTATGCAGTCCACACAAGTTTCAAAGTCGGCAAAAACTAGAGTAATAAGCACTCCATCATTCACCAATCTTTTAATCCTTACAATGGAGATAAGTCCTAATCTTCGGTGCCAGAACATAGAGGAAGATTCATTCATAACACATCGCTTTGTACCAGTATGAACATGAGTTGCATAATAACAGGCATTGTTTTGCAAATTAAAATGGAAAAGACCATTAGACAATGTTCCATTTCTAATACAATCAGACTGATAATTTAAATTTAAAGGTTCGCCTGAAAATAGAAAGGAATATCCAAAAGGTACAAGTCTTGAAACTAAAATCAATTTTCTAGAGAAATTAGGAATATAAAATGTCTTTTCCAATTTTTAAAAAAAAATCCAGTACTAAGAACTAAATTGCAATCTCCAACAGCTTCCACACGTGAACGCATCTTGTTTCCAGATAAGATGTATTGCTCACTTTCCGTTGGCTTTCTTGGGTTTTGCAAATCCTACAACTCATTTATAATATGGATAGTACAACCAGACTCAATTCACCATGTGTCATGAGAAACTTCAGCCATATTAGATTCAAAACAAACTAGTGAGATTGGATTACCTTTCTTTTCAAGCCATTTCTTGAATTTGACAAAATCCTTCTTCATGTTAGCTTGGGCAAGTATTTTGACCCTTTCCCTTCGATTTAGCTTGAATTTTCTTCTTTCTTTGAACAGCTAGATGTGCACTCTGTGAACTCTCTCCCTGTTCCATAAACAGCCTCCCTTCCTCTTGAACACACATGGTCATTAATTCATTTATTGACCATTTTTCTTTGTGTGTGTTATAAGAGATCATAAAAGGTCTGTATGGATGTGGAAGAGTGTTCAAAATATAGTGCACAAGGAAAGAATCAGACATCTCAACCTCAAGTTTATTTAGATGAGCTGCAATGTCCCTCGCCTTCAAGATGTGCTCACGCGCACCTTGGACACCTATGAGCTTTGTGGATGAAAACTTCATAATCAGGGTGCTGGCGAGTGCCTTGTATGAAGTTTCAAATTGTTCATCAATAGCCTTCAGCAGAGCACGAACATTATGATGTTGTTCAATAGAACCACAAATGCTAGCAGAAATTTTGGTCTTTATGACCATCATACTTCGTTGATTGGATCGGTCCCAACGTTCATAAAGAGAAATTTCATCTCCAATGCTGGCTTCAGTGACTTTAGGTAGTTCATCTTTCAGGATAGCATAGTCGATGTCCATCCACCTTAAATGTAGGAGAATTCTCTCCTTCCAAATCTTATAGTTTTCACCTCTTAATTCGGGAATTTCACAAGTTGCATCAGAGAAACTAGCAGTTTGAATAGCTACATAATTAAACATACAAGCTTATCTATCAATAAATTGAGACTAACAAATAAAATATATGTTTTACGAAAGTAAAGCATATCTTAAATGACATAAATTAAATGGCATAAAAATGACCTGTAGGCCAAATTTTTTATTCAAACAGATTAGTTTTAAACTTTATGATAAAACTATCAAATCATATTCCAATTCCTAATACCTTTGGGCAAATCAGGATAAATAATTTGATATTATATCCTAATTAATTATTCAAATATAATAAAAGTTCATGTGGAACAAATTTATTATATTGAACATCATTAATATCACAGTCACTGTCTTATACCAAATGTGATCCAAAAACTTATATAATAATTATAATTTTTTTGTTGAGTAATTAGAGTTTCTATGGCTAATCCCTAATTAAAAAAAATATTACATGGATCACTAAACATTTTAAAATTTATCCACGCACAATTTAAAATGTGCATAAAGATAATCCCCATAAATCTAGGTATTAAAGTGTAACAGAACAAAAAATTCAAAATGAACACTGATAATTATAAATCATAATGAAACTATAATTAAGATTTTTTTTAAATATCCCAAAAACTACATGTTGTTTGGGGTTGTCTTCAACCTTGAGCCGGGTTGTTCCAACCTATTTTTTGTGATGCCCTTGTTTTCACACGTGGTTGTAGTCCAAGATGAACCCAGAGATGTCAAACCTATCATGCACACACATTGTGCAATAACAAGTTTTACCAATCACAACAATATCCTCTAGTGGAATCAAAATAAAGTGCATGTACAAAACAGGTAAAAGAAAGGAAATAACTACAATAGACATGATATAGAAAGAAGTATCTCATAAATAAATCATGTCTCAAATGATATAGAAAGAAGTATCTCATAAATAAATCATGTCTCAATGAACAACCTGGAATACATCTGATATCCAAAATGAATAAATATGTCTCGACAAGAAACAACTAAAAATTACACTAAGGCACACTACCTTTACACTATGAAATAAACTCTAAGGTCTGAACAAAAATATAAAACTATGGTGGAACCTCTAATAAATCTTATGTGACGGTGACTATGTAAGAACTCTGTCATCCTGTGACTCTCCAGTACTCCGAATTACTTGAAAGAATATTAGAAGAAAAAGAGCAATAACAAGAGCGTCAGAGCGCTATAACAAGATCAACTCCATCCGCCCCCAGGGAAAGGGCTGCTAGATAGAGTGGAGGCTCTATCCATTAAGCATAGTCTACCTAGATTATTTTTCCCCGTATCTAATAGAATTAATATTTAGACACCTACAATACGAGACGTAGTATGTCGAGCAAAATAATCCAAACAAGGAAACCGTTATGTATATACCATATATCTCAAATTGTAAACATCTAAACATTAATACCGAACTAAAGATAAACAATCTAAATGAAATTAACAATTAGAAATCCACAACATGAGACTGGTACATCGAGCGAAATAATCCAAACAAGAAAACCCTCATGTATATACCATATGTCTCAAATTGTGAATCGCTAACTATTGATCCCAACTAAGAAAATAAAGAAAAGTAGTAAAAGAAAGTAAAGATATCAACATATCATATTCATACTATCTTCTACTGTCACTGGGAAGATAGAATGAATACTGGCACAAATCCAGTATACTTTCAAATGCAAAGTACTATGGATCATATATTTCAGCAGTGAGTCAAAAACATAACTAGCATCCACCAACGACTCGGGCTATCATTTAACTATCTCAATGCAACTCGTTGTAAGATTTTGATACTTAGCATTATCATGTGCAACGGACTACCCTGTAGATATCCTAATCAGTGTACATAACTCATTAGTCTCAGCACGATCTCAGTGGGTAACATCAGTGCGGAACGACCTACCATATAGGTATCCTAGAAGTATGGCTCACAAGCCTCATCGCACCCTCGTACGGATGGACTACTAGATAAAGCATCCAAACCCGACTCAATAGCAAGTACAAATAGAATATCGATGCACTACCCTCGTAGTACTGAACTGAGCTCATCAACGATATCCAGAAGGTGTGTGTATAATATGTACTAAACTTTTTCTTAAATTAATTGGGTCAAACCACATCATAATTCCTTTCAACATACTCATGGGTGTGCTACTACACTATTCGTGAATTTACGTAAAAAGAAGTGCTGCTCGAAACCCGCAAACATATCTCAAACAGATGCAAAACAAAAATTCAAGCAACAGCCTTAGTAGTCGACTACTAGGCTTAGTAGTCGACTACACTGAGTCCACCCAGACTCTGTAATAGCATATATCAGTATCAGTAGTTGACTATTAAGAATATTAGTCTACTACTCTGCAAACACACAGTTTCTGTTATACTCAATTGGGCATGAGTAGCCAACTACTAAGCTTAGTAGTCGACTACTCTATCAAGACACACATTCTTTTGTACACAAACAGTGCTTATATCAATTGTACATATCATGACGTTAAAACGAGATTTATACTTGGCATATGCAACATGAATTATCTGAATCATCAAATTAAATTATTATATCTTCTAAATTAGGGTTTAACATCCTAATTAAACAATTTCTTCAATTATCTCATGTGTAAACAAAATGATTATCAACACATGATAAAAACTACTCATAAATAGAGGTAAAATTCATTTAAACATGTTTATCTTACTTAGGTATCACAAACCTAGGGTTTAAGCATGATTAATTAATATGAAAACTCAAAGAAACATTCACATAATATATCAATTATTTTAAATCAGCATATCTGTAGTTTTCTGTAGAATATATCACTTGTAAATTGAGCATATCTTTCTCTAGACAAACTTTTTTAAAAAAATAGTTTTTCTTGTTTTGGAAACTAGATTCACATAGCTATCATTTGGAACTGGTTTAGTTCAGTTTAGAGTTTATATGATATCTTAAATTTTTAGTTAAATGTTATACACATGTAGTAGTTTTTCTGAAATCTATGATGAAAACAAAAACTAAATCTCTTTATAATTCAATTTGACAACAAATTAGGGTTAACACACGAGTTAAACATAATTATCAAGTTTTAAAAAATAAAAATTTAATCACCTCTAATTATCATGATCACGTTACTGTCATAAACAATTAGGAAAAACTAATGATCTAGCATTGGGTTAAAATTTATCATAAAAAATCTCATCTTTTTCATATTAGGTTAAGCCTTAAGCATAAAAACATTGATTAAATACTTTTATAATCATTAAACACGCTATGGGGATGGTTTTGGATACAGATGATCTTGCCTTTTCACGTGTGCAAGCCACTGAAACTGATGTGAAGTGACTCCTCATCACCAAACATCGTAGATCTTGCATTTTCCTCACTTCTCGCCTCACAAGACGCTCCCAAAATTTCAACTTTAGGGCTAGGGTTTGAAAGAGAGGAAGAGGGGTTGCTATGGTTTGAGACTCTAATGAAAAGATAATAATTTTTATGAAAACACACACACACACACACACACACACATGTGTGTGTGTGTGTGTGTGTGTGTGTGTGTGTGTGTGTGTGTGAAAGAGAGGAAGAGGGGTTGCTATGGTTTGAGACTCTAATGAAAAGATAATAATTTTTATGAAAACACACACACACACACACACACACACATGTGTGTGTGTGTGTGTGTGTGTGTGTGTGTGTGTGTGTGTGTGTGTGTGTGTATGCAAACCCGAAATAAACATGTTTGACCCGAACCAGGAAACCTAGTCTGACTAGAAAAATAACATTCGGTATGTTTGCTGTAACCTTCTCATCTGACCTTGGAATGAGGTGATTTAAGATTTGTTGGAAAACTGTTTAAGAGACCTACAACTTTGATCTTTTAAAATTTTCTAGATTCAAACTGAATTGGTGTGTAAAATATATAAACTCTTAACTGGTAATTTTTTTAGATTTCTCTTCGTGCATGTTTTGTGCATTTGCACTCATATATTAACAAATATACATTAAATTGATCTCAAATCAATTCCTATCATACTCAAACATCAAAATATGTTATATTTTCACCATATAACATATTTATTATTATTATTCACATAATATTCAAAATTTTAGGGTTTTACATTCTTCCCCCTTAAAAAGAATTTCGTCCCCAAAATTTCGCAATCGTATCCTAGAGATTAATAATATCAGAAAAGCATGTTGAGGGGATAATTCAGACAAGGAAACCCTCATATACACATCTCATACCATTAATCTCCAGATATGAAACATAAAAAAATTTACACTTAACAATCTAGAATGTTAATATTCCCACTCAACCCCTAACTAGACGGAACTAGTGTGAAAAATCCAAACAAGGAACCCCCCATATATATACAATGTATTCCGAATGATTAGGAGTCAAGTGTCAATACCTCCATTCTAGCGTTAAGTATGAATATAACCATATAAACAATCCATAAATATCAATCAAAATCAATCAACCCACCTGCTCAAACAGGTGTGGGTAGTCGCGATGCATAACATATTCGTGCCCCTAAAAATCATCATCGATATCAATAGTTAACGGTTTAAAACACAAATACTCCCAGTTAACCCCTCACTAAATAGAATATGTACGTCAGGCAAAAAATCCAAGCAAGGAACCCCCATATATATATATATATATCGTGTGTTCCGAATACTTAGGAGCTAAGTGCTAGTATCATCATTCTAGCATTAAGTATAAACATGACCATACAGATAACCATAAATCATAAACAAATCATACTGAATTTTTAATTTACCTATTCAAACATGTGTAGGTAGTCGCGACGCATATCCTCCTCGCGCTCCCATGAAGTCTCCTCAGTTCATCTCTGGTTCCACTGAACTTTAACTAAGGGTATCACCTTATTTCTAAGCT